CAAATATGATATTGCACCTTCACATCACAACTGCTAACCCATCCAAGAAGTTTAGTTTGTTAGTGAGACATGTAATTGAAGTGTATTCAACATTTTGGTTTAATATCAAGAAAAATCCCTCATGCAGCCATAGTTCACTGCACCTTTTGCTACTTGTAAGAAAATCACGTTTTCTTCCTAAATCAGAGAACTATGTGGTAGATAGAGTAATCTGGAGAAATTCCTATTTTGCTCATCCGGAAAATTTGCTATGATACTAAGGCTAACTATGTGGTAGATAGAGTAATCTGGAGAAATGCCTATTTTGCTCATCCGGAAAATTTGCTATGATACTAAAGCTATCAGAAAATTTTATCTTCGTAGAATATTAGCTGCTCGATCTACCTCAAATTCTAGGCCAACGAGACAGTTTGTGGTTCCAAATATTAATACAACATTACACTGATCTAACAATGTGGACTGAAAGTAGAGTAACCACTCACAAAAATATAAGCAATGAACAATTGGTATCTTTCATTAATCAAGATGACACGCTAGTTTTCACGTTCAGCATGCCGTGTCACACACAAGCAGTTGAAAGACATGTTAAAATAGCAACAGAAGCTTTAGCAACTGTTTGTGGCTATCGCAGAAGAAAGGGATTCATTAAAGCAAACCTCCAATCTCGCAAAATCATGAAAATAATTAATACTAAGAAACAATACATATTCTAGTAATTCTATTGCCTAGTGGAAGGGTGGTTGGGTGGGAATGGGTGGAACTTGACATGCAACTACCTCCTCGTGGGAAGTTTTGGGAAATTTAGAATATAAAACTCTTAAATTAGCTAAACGTTGCATATCCAAAGTTATGGTACTTTGATTTTTCATACACCTTGATTATGGATGTGCATGATATAATTTTAGAAGCCTGAAACTTACCCACATAATCACTATTAAAAGGCACCAATCGCATATTCTGCCGATAATGATATGGAAATTTGTGTTTTCGATGCACCCTACTGTACAGTGGATGGTGGCATTAATTGTAATTGAGTGTAGGCTAATATTTTTATGGAGGGTTAGAGTTGGTAACTATTGTTTTCGATCATAGAAGTGGAAATAATACACACATGTCAATTCCAAAAATGGAAAAATGGAAAGATAAAATATTAAGTTGATGCTTCTTTTAAAAGAAGATTTTCTATTATTTTTACATTGTTAAGTTTTAAGAAGAAATTATTGCACATCTTTATCCATAAACAGCAATTTCTTTTCTCCTGTACAGAATGAAACTTCCAAGCTGCACTCGTGAATACCAAAGTTTGTTTGTTTGTTTGTTTGTTTTTTTAATTAAGCACAAAGCTACACAAGGGCTATCTGTGCTCTGCCCACCACGGGTATCGAAACCCGGTTTCTAGCATTGTAAGTCCGTAGACATACCGCTGTGTCACTGGGGGGCAAATACCAAAGTATTCATTAAAAATCGCGTGCATGTCCAATGAGGCGTTGGCTACAATTACTAAAATTTGTTAGCGTATCTTGAAAGAATATCTATCAATACAGAACATCTTGTCTGAGAATGTTGTGTAGTCTCTATTATTATTATCCAAATCTATATTATTAAAAGAGTAATGTGTGTGTGTGGGAAGCTAAAAAGCTTCCTTAAACTATACAGAAACGAAATTAGGAATAAGGAAGTACAGAAGACATAATCATATGCATAAGGGAGGGGTAGGTTTAAACAGTACTATGCATTGGAAAGAGAAATTGATCTGTTATCCCTCACCACACTATCTCAGACAGAAGTATTTATGTGTTAAGGTTTTGTGTGGAAATTTCTTCATTTGTGTACAGACACTTAAAGTACCAGTACCATCACCCTGTTGAGTAGAGGTCTGGAAGAAATATAACTGATTTTTAATACTTGCCCACAATACCCAGGTTTTCAAAACGTCACTATATCTGATGTTCATACTAGATACGTCAATCAGTTTGTTATTTTTGGTCAGATCATTCAGCTGAAAGTGTCTTTTGTATTATAGGTGTTTCATAGGTATCACGTGCTATGGAAGAAGTTTAATTTCATAGTCGTTGAGATAACCTGCATGGCCACCAAATTCGCTCAGAAATCTACGTTCCTAACCTCATACGCTAATAATCTAAGTAGATCACTTAACTGTTTCGATTACTTTAATTACACAGCACTGCCTTTACGTTTTATAAACTTTGTGCATTCAAATACAAAATACCACAATCAAAAAAATGTTTCGTACTCAATGCACAAGTTTTCTTCCCAAATAAAAATTTGGCTTTTAACAGATGAAACACTTTCATTTAACATGGAAAATGTAGAAATCACATATATTAATCTTCAAGTTACTGACTTGTTTTTATATCGTTCACTTATGATAAGATCTACATTTACATCACATTGAAAAATTTAATTATTTTGTCTGTACTATACGCAATGTAAAAACTGATCCAAAAATACGGCAAAAATCATTATTAAATATATAGGTGACACCAGTAGTAATTAGTGAGACTAACAGAAAAATTGGTGGTATTTTGCTAATTGGGGATTATGTAATTAGCAAGGTAATGAAACTACAAGTAGTTACCCTCATTAGGGGTCGCCAGACAATTTGGGGATGGAGGGAAAGGGACAGAGATGATGACGTAATAGTTCCACGTAGTAGAACCAGAGAGCGTTGGCACTATGCAATGAAATCACCTGAGAGAGGAGGATTGTGTAATAGCTCCACGAAGTACAACCAGAGGGCGCAGTTATTTTAGGAGGGATTATACCATAGTTCGACACCAGAAGGCCTGTTACTATAAGCAAATTGACTTATTAAGGTTTATAAGCATATATTTAATCATACTTTTAAATTTCCCGACCATTTATATGAAAATTGTCCTGAAAAAAACATTTATTTAAATATCATGCAATGGTTTAAATTTTACTGTTTCACTAGTTTGACTTTATGGTATCCATACAACTTGACAAAATATTTCATTTTACGTCTAATATTTTATAGTTTTACAAGGATGGACACTCTACTTCCACATATGATTACATCATCAATTTTAACGACGGTCTTACTTTCCTTAGGATTTTAACAAATCTGCTGTTATTCATTATTTGAATGAGATCACATCTTACGTTTTCGTTTTCGATTTTAATATTTATCTCTATTACATGTGTTTTACAGAGGTGGGCAATGCTACTAAGGGTTGTATACAAATTTCAGCCGCCATTTAATTGCATAAACTAAGTGGAGGCAGTTCTAATGGATTAAAATATTCTCCTTTATCATCTTGACCAATGTAAATACAGACCCAGTGGCTACCAGATTTGTGAATTGGATCCAAATTGACGATGTGCAATTGTTTTTTTTTGCATGACCAGGTAGTTGATCACTGACAAACACACCTCCAAACTTCTTTCGCGTACACAAAACTTGTAAAAGTATCGAATAAATATGTAAAGTGTTTATGGTTTATTTCAGACATTGTTCCGTATGACACCTGTTGTTTCACTTTCACGAGTCAATGATACATCCAATGTAACATACATATTATCCAATATTTGAATGATGCTAATTCATTTTGCTACAACTAAATATGATATTTGAATGATTTACTGTTTATCCACCATTTTCTATTAAAATTTCATAAAACGTTGAAACTGTCTAAACACTCTTGTGAAATATCACACACACACACCCTTCACTAATGTCAAGCTAGCCAATATTTGTCTGTTAAGAAATACAAAAAGCTCGTCACGTGGGAAGGGTAGACAGGGAAAAAGAAGTTATAGAAAGAAGATAAAGTTCGTTGACCAACATGTGACTAATGAGAAAAGGTCGCTTCTGAGTTGGCCAAATCTATTTCACATAAAAGAAAAATCAATTATAATACATTGTCACTATTTATATTATAATAACTATTGAAAGTAAACGGTTCCAACTCTACATAATATTATATTTTCTACAAACATTTAATGTTCATCATATTTTAATTACAGTTTTTGGATATCACTGAATTTAAAAGTCAGTAAACATAGTTGTTTCACTTTACATTGTGATACAAAACACTAAAGGTATATTCTCAATATTTCACAGGACATTTCAATTGGCGAACAATTATTGCATAATTTCTACTCAGTACAGTTTCTGACAAATGGTCAGATGTTCAGAATTTGTCAGTCAGCTTAGAATAATTTTTAAAGTGAAAGATTTATTCAATTCTACCTTTTTGTTTGAAGTTAAACACAAAGCTACACAATGGGCTATCTGTGCTCTGCCCACCACGGGTATCGAAACCCGGTTTCTAGCGTTGTAAGTCCGCAGACATACCGCTGTGCTACTGGGGGCTCAATTCTACCTTTAATATCTACTTAAACATGTGAAATGTATGATATTTCATTATACACTAATGTCTAATTATTATTTTAAATATCTCATGTTATAATGCTTCAAAACTAACATAATTTGAAGCAGTATTGCTATATTAGACAAAGTTTTCAAATTCTATTGAGGTCATTGGCAGCTACGTGACAAACGCCAGTTCTGATTTATCTAGCAGCAGTGATAGGTTTATTTTATGGCACTTTTTTTTATCAATGACAGGATTAAGGTTTTGTTTGCATAAACATTACCATTAGGATTTAATACACTGACATCCAATATCATAACAATTACATACAGAACATACTAAATGTCTGAAATATCTTTGAGAACACAAATCACCACTTTGGCATTCCCGTTATTCAAAAAGCACTGCGCCATGTACAATTTTAATAACTTCCAAATAGTATTTGTTAACACTAAAATACACGTGTCACATATCTTGGTAGGTTTTGTTTTTATAATTTTCAAGATGGTCCTTTATTTTTTGCACTGCTACTACATTGGTTGTCATGTGATCAACGATAATTGTATAAATAAGTGTTATTTTTTGCAAAACATTACACTCCTGAGGATGACGCAAGATGTATGTCGAAACATGTACAAGATTGTTTTCCAGTCACATCGGGGATTTAACCACTTTTTAACCTTGTACTGTAAGTTATTATTTTAGTAATTTGGAGACTGGAAACAATCTCATTTTATTGAATTGTGTATATCATAATCGTTGTTTTTTAAAAAAATAAATCAGTTTTCAAGATTGAACATTACACACGTGCCAAAAAAGTTTTGAAAAAATGATGTGTCTGTTGTTATTAAATCGTTTGTTGTTGCTTTTTTTCAGAAGTTTATAATACCTCGTCTATTTTGTTTACATATATATTTGATTATCATGTTATTGATATAATATCTTATAGGGTCTTCTTTTTTTTATCACAATCAGAATGGCAGAATTTGTATTTTTCAAAATGAAAGTTAGTTTGACCATGATTGATTCAGTTCTATTTTTAATATTTATGATATCTACATAAACTTAAAAACTACATCAACATGTGAAATGTAGGAGATGTCATTACACAATACAAGAGTTGTCACAATGGTTGAGTTATCTGTTTCCACGTAATGATAAACTCATTCACTAGTTCAGACACACCAGTCTACAATAATCAATCTAATTTTTATTTATATATTAACAAGTTTACAATCACATGTTATATTTGTTCATTGATGTTTCAGACTCAGAAAATGTAATTTTTCAAAACTGACAGATTTGTGAAACTATTTTACAGTATCTTGTATTATCCTTTTCACCTAAAAATCAGAGCAAAACTTAAATATATTTACTCTATACTATTTAAACTTATTAGCTTACCAAAATATCAGATACATTTTTCACAAATGAACAATACTGAAAAAGAATTGACAATCAAAATCTTAAAAGAACCTTTAGTTATAAATCAAGTGATTATCCTCCACTATTTCAAAACAGATATTTCCTCACGTAGATCTTGGAATTTTTACTCTAACATGAATGAGCATTCATTTACATTCTCCAGATGGATAATCAAATGTATAAACGTCTTCAGTTAAAAATCAGTGTTCTCTTATTTTCTTGTATGAAATTTACTTCTCATCATAGACTAATATACTATCTTTAGTACATATAAGTTAAATCTCAGACTTAATTATCACACATATTGAAACATTTGTTAACAAAACTTCGAAATAAACTCAGGTACTATTTATGAAAACTTCTTAGTTTTTAAGTTACTGACCTATACATATCTAGCTTAGTCTTTTATGATAAATTATGCCTCATTAATATCAGTTCCTAACAAATCTCCATTTATATTTGATATAGAAAACTCGTATTTCATCATAGCCCTTTGTAATATCATTAATATATGTAAGTAAAATCACATACTTAACAAGCATACTGAAACTTCAAGTACTAATACGCTATTTACGAAAACATCTTAGTTTATAAAGTACCGACTTACAGCCTAATGTAATAATACCTGTGGCATATACTTTTTATAGCTAGCTATTAGTCAAATAAAATAAATTATCTTTAATGAAACATAAATAATCAAAGTTTCCATATTTTAGAAACAATACAAAATGTATCCTGCACTTGAAATTTGTAACTAAATTGACTGTCCCCCATCATGCTGAACATTAGTTCTTGACCCTCACATTTCTCTACAGTTTAAAACTGACATGTTTCACCATATACTACCTTCAATATATTTAAGTAAAGACTTGTAAAGTATCAAACATACTGAAACATTGGGGAATATTTTCGAAATGTACAAATATTTTGGTCCTATTTGTTTTATTTACGCAAACATATGACTAAGCATCTACATATTCCCCAACAGAACAAAAACTTTCAAGGAAGTGACGCCGTTGGGTAAAACTCTGTCACCAATGCTTTGACCTTTGTTAGTCACATGTTGGTCAATGACTGCGTCTTGGGGAACATTCATTCCTATATCATGTAATGAAACCAAGAACTATTATACTTCATCTGATATACAACAGAAGACTAATTGTGGCTCTTGTACAATATAAGGGACAGAGAATGTGTTAAATACTTTTTTATCTCACTAAGTACCACAATAAGTACCATGAGTATTAAAGTGACGTACTTCTAAGTTTTGATCTCACAGCTAAAGGTGTGGTCTACAAGAATAAACATATCTATCCTTTACATGAAATTAGTTTATAAAGTGTTCCTATAACAGTCACATAAAAAAAAACAACAAACATTCACCAACATGATTAGATGTATTTCTAAAGATCATTGCTCAAAGACCATGCTTATTATAATTAAGTTATTATTATTCTTACTGTATAACATAATATTACTTTTTATATTATAAATGTCAACGAAGTTGGTATAAGATTTACTAAAATTTAGTAAATTTCACTGTAGTAAGAAGAATAAGTTAAAGTCATCTCACATTATCACACGATTCTCCTCTTTAATGCCAGATAATGACGGGAAAGTTATATCATTCCATAAATGATACGCATACTAAACATCGTTTTTCATATCATGATGTGTAATTTTGATTGAGAAAATTAGATACATCGTTTCGCCCACTATGTAGTAAAAATTTCACATTGATTAATATATCACCTCTTAATTAAATATTCTGTAACATTTTAGGAATAGACAGCAAATAGACACTATTTGCAATAATTTTGCGAAATGCGATAAGGTTTTGGGTTTCAGAGCTTAATTTCAGAACTGGTATAATGAATGTATTTAGATATAAAATGACAAAAAGTATTTTATTTCTTGTAATAAACTATAGACAGAATATTTGTATGTAATACATTTGTTTTCTCAAATTAACTCAATAGATACAACAAAACATGTTGATTTCAGTACGGGTAAATAGCCACTTTAGTATAATGGTAAAGTCAGTTATAAAACTGGAGAAAGACTAAATGGCCAAACAATACGGTGTCTTAAGAAAATGTGAACTGACTTTGAAATGCTAAATAAATTAAAAATTAATCAAATACATTTATTTCCTTATAATTATATTAAAATATACCTGTAATGAGAAAGAATATGCTAGTTTTAACACTGCCATAGAAATAGTTTTGTATAGTCTTTGGATCTAATTTCAATGTATGCATCTTACATTATCTTTTCTCAAAGTATGATAATAGTAGTAAGAGCGTTACCCGCGCTTCACGTCGTTACAGGGCACGCACGTGTGTCAACCTCGGGAGAGGGGCAAGGGGAAGACGATATGTCACCAAAGATGATGACGTCATAGTTCAAAGTTCACCAGAGGACGCGTTGCTAGGCCATCATGACGCAAGTTGTGACTACATTCAAGTAATGGATAACAGCAGGTTTGTTCAAATCCTATCGACAGTAAGACTGGCGTTTAAATAATGGCTTTAATATAATTAAATCTAAACATTGATCATGTAATAATATGTGGAAGTATAGTAACATCATCTACACTTGTAAAACTCGTGTAAGATAAGACTATAAAGTAACGTGTAGATGAATTATTTTGTCAAATTATATGGATATCATAAAGACAAACTAGTGAAACAATAACTATTCAATTATTACATGATATTTAAATAAGCGTCCTTCTTTTCAGGACAATTTTCATATAAATGGTCAGGAAATGTAATTAAATATAACGATTAATCACATTTATTATGTAGCAAAATGATTTACTACAGAGTTTATTAATAAACGAAAACTATATTCTGTATGTTAATTCATTCAATGTTTATAAAAACATTAGGTAGGTTAACATTCTTTCATGACAGATAATTGTGAATTGTGAGATAAAAACTGACGCGTGTAATACTGTTATAATAGTTTTATCATTAAATATTAGTTTTATTTAAGATATTAATGATGTAATCGCATGTTGAGACACATTAAAAATCAGTTTGCCTTAGTAACAAAATGTATATGTAGAACACCATCCACCTTTGTAAATATGTGTAAATGAATTATTTCATGAAGTTATATGAATATCATAAAATAATGATTTTAACAAGGTTAAATCTAGACATTGATGATGTAATCATATGTGGAAGTATAGTAACATCGTTCACCCTTATAAAACTCGTGTAAGATAATATTATAAAGTAACAAGTTATATGAATATCATAAAAAAAGTCAAACTAGTGAAATAGGTAAATAAGTATTGCATGATATTCAAATAAGCATCTTTTTCTGGACGTTTTACATATAACTGGTCAGGAAATGTATAGAACTAATGAATTAGTGAATCATATTAACTGTATTAAGTATAGTAATGTTGAAACACGTTGATCCATCACAATCCGTCTATAGTAATAGGCCTTCTGGTATCGAACTATGATATCACTCATTCCTAAGATAGCCATGCCTTCGGATTTCACTTCTTGGAATAATTACATCATTGCCGCCTGATATAGCAGCCTAGAACACACCATTTCATTCCACTTCGTGGAACTATTACGTAATCTTTCGTCATGACGGCCTAGCAACTCGTCCTCTGGCGTTATCGTCTCCCTTCGAAGTCGCCAAACGCGTGATGCCCTCTAACGGCGTGTTGCGCGGGTAACGCCCTTACTACTGATAATACGGACACCAAATTCTGGAAATAAGAGGAAAATGTTGCTAAAATCTAATTTTCTTCATTAACAACTTCAAAACTGTCCACAGGTAATAACTATGCAATAACTTGGGATATTGTAACCAAAGAAGTGAGATTAAAATAAACGTTATATTTACTTTCAAGAAACACAATCAAAGTTAACTTCACTCTGAGAACTCGTAACATCTCAGGTTATACATACCATTGCATTTATAGCACTACTACTTTACTGGCCATATATAGAAACGTACTTTTTTTTTTTTTTTTCAACTATTAGATCAACACAATCTATATAGTAAATATTTAACAATCTAACCATATTTGCATTAGTCGTAACCATATTGCCGATTTCATCCAAATACGATGTTGAACTTTAGGACTTGTTTAAATTACTGTAATTACAATTTAGCAATATTTCTGAAAATGGCCAATATTTACAAAAAACTATTGTAAGTACCATTTAGTGAGCAAAAAACAAAAGACCAGTGAACATCCGCTGCTCTTTAAAATTGATGATTGACCGCACAGTGTATTATAATCTTCACAATTTACTTTAAATTGCTTCTGTAGCAAAATTCGAGATACTTCCAAACTGTTTTCTATAAAGGATTGTGCAGGTTCGGCACAACCTGTTTCTTCTGCCGCTTTTGTTTGACAGACTTCCAGCTTACAGAAACTCCTGAAAAGAACAATTCCTTGTGTGATGTAAAATTGTTATTTAATCCAAACACTTTAAATCCTATGGTTAAAATTCTAAAGGTAAAATATTGAAAAACTTCATGAAAGAATTCAAGACATCAATAAATCGCACTGTTAGGTCTTTTTTCAGAATAATCTGGATATGTTACTATTCGATGAAAATCCAGATATATGATTACTAACACTATACTGAATAAAACTAGAAATAATAGAAGCTTTAAATATATTTGAAGAGATCAGTAATAGCATAAAAACGTCGTCACTAATGAATATAGATATTATATATTGAATTTATAAACAAGACTAACTTATAAAGTGTTTTTATTTTTAGAACTTGTTTTAGCATTTTAATTCTAGATGTTAGTAAAATACGATTATATATAATAAATATTTTTTGTATGGCATTTTAAAAAGATATTCTTTGAAACATTATTTCCATGACAACTACTTACACATGTATTAAGTAAAGCTCGTGTTGTATAATGAATATTTTTTACTTTGAGGTTTGAACTTGCCCACAGACATTAATAAAGGTGTTAGTTACTGTATATTTAAATCGAAATTAGGAAATAAAACGTCAGACCTTTTCATGTTAACTAAAACCAAAATAATTGTCACTGTTTGAAACCGCTAAGGCTGAATAGTTAACTCTTTTCTTTTCTGACCAAGGCTTTCTTTCGCTAAGCATGTTGCAGTTGTGCAGATTGGCCTAAATATTTTGCTGTCTGAATTAACTCTACTGCACTTTAGTTGTAAGAGATATATATTATACTTTTTGAAAAGTGATAGAAAAAAATCCAAGAAAAAAAACAACTTGGAATCCTACAACGTATTATTACACTAGTAAAGAAATGTAATATTTGTCTGATGCAAGTAATTATATTATTAAGTACACTCTCTTACTTGTTATAGAAAACTGTTTTACGGACGCTGGAGAACTATCAAATGGAAATGATCGAAAATAATTCCAAATATTTAGATCGTATTGGTTTAACTAAAATATTAACTTTCGTTATGGTGTTCCACTGTAAATCCCTAGGTTTATATTATAAGACCTATATCTTTATAACGTTAAGTTAAATGCTTACACTTTGAGGAAATTTCGACTGAGCAAGTTAAATAAAATTCGTTTTGCTCTATTATTCCCGCAGCATAAAAAAAACGGTTTATGCTATTTCAGATAGTTAAAGGGTTATATTTTTAAGCACGGAGCTTTACAAATATGCTGTACCCGCCACGGCTATTGAAACGCAATATTTTGCGTTATAAGCTCTCAAATATATCGCCCAGTCACGTTTGCTAGGGAAGAAGTATGGACCTTTGATGCAATGCCTTTGATTAAAAATATTTCGTCTCTTTTAGTAAAACTGTTATGCTTATAAATTAAATCAATGTTATTGAATAAAGAAGTTTCTTGAAGTTACATATATGAACTCTCACCGACCTTTATGTTAAGCTGATGATCAAAACACAAGCATAATTATATCATTAGCACGTGTTACTTTTTTCTACAATCGTTTTAGTGAACGCTCTTTTTATCTGGCGTTGTTCACTGAATGTGATATAAATTGAATGCAAGTGTCATAATACATCGGTTTATACATTCAAGTTTAACTGATGTTTTTGGTGTTTTTTTCTAAACTGACTATTGTAACTTATATTGAAATTGAAACATTATATTTGCAGGCGAGGCTTAGAACCTGTTTCTAGACGCGCTGGAAAGTTTGTTATGAATATGTATAGAACAATGTTATTTGTAAAGATATAACATCAATGGAAATTTTTTCAGTGAAAACTGTTAAAGATTCCCACATTAACATAAAAAGAACAGCTTACTACTCAATGAAACAATGTGCACTGCACACAAAAAATAAAAGTAAAGGTTAATTATAATTCATAATATTTTAGCTACGACAAAGCAAAACCACTGATATAAATGTAATAATGTCATTTGTCTCCTATGTTGATTTTCAAGCAAACTGACAACTGTGCTCTGCAATGGGATGTAAAATGTAATTGATTGATCAGTTAGCCTACACTCGTGAACTAATATTTGATATAGACGGGGTTTACCTTATTATAGTTAATGGCAAGTTACATTAAAAGATGGAGTGTGATCACCATAAACAGCAAGGGCAGCCTGAAACCGAAGTTACGTGATCAAAATCAGGTTGTTCATATGGTCCTAAACTATCCTCGATCTCATGTTTGAAAGAACTGTTTCCAGAACGTTTATAGTATCTGGAATCAGTTCGAGTCGCTTCACGGGATGGGATGAGTCTCCTAAAATCCCATACATACTCGATGAGATTATAGTCCGAAAAGAGAGCTGGTCACTCTATTCGTCAATTCCATCATTCATTTTCAATGAATGTATCGACCAGTTTAACACTGTTAGGACAGACGTCAATAGCCACTAGTATAGGGAATATTTGGTAATACAAACAGTCGTAAGATGTGGTCCTTATAACTTGTTGCTTTAATGATTTCATTTCGCCTATACCATACATGCATTTTTACCATATGCGTTAAATTACTGTATGAAAATGGAGATGGATTTAATTCCATGTTGTCTCCAAATGAGAATATGCCTGTTACCTTTCTGTAAGGTGAAGTGCGAGTCATCTGTAAAAATTAATATTGCTCTACATGTTGTTTTCTTGGCACTAGTCCAGCGAACTGACTTCTTTATTTTCGTATTCTTTATGCATTACATTGGGCACTTAACTTACGGGCCGACTTTATGACGTATTAATGTTTCTAACCATTCGTATACTGACAAAACGCCTGGTTGAAGCTGCAGATATCTGATTCAGTCTCAGAGTAAGTATCCTACGACTGGCGAGCCAGAAGCAATAAATAGCTGTTAAATAATTATATTACGGATTGTGTTCTGCCCTTTCCAAAGTCTTGTCCAAAACGTTTCCATATTTTACAAGCAATACGATAATTATTATTACAAGCAGAAACACCGTCATACTGGCAGGTTTTTGTGCAAGTAGTCATACCTCATTGAAAAAAAAAATAGAAAAAAAATGTACATTT